CTAGCCGGATCTTCTCAGTGGGTCGCGTTTCCGATCCGGTGGTAGATTCTGCGAAGCACGGCTCTTGCTAGGGTTCGTGTTAGCAACGTCGTCAGGTTTGAGCCCCGTGAGCTCACCTACTAGTTAAGGTTACGCTGAAATAGCCTCTCAAGGCTATCAGCATAGGTAGAAAAAAAAAAACGGTAAGCAATTTCCCAAATGTAGCGCTGTGTCGGGGGGAGGCGGCCTGCCTCTACCCCTAACATTGCTGGTGTCCATGACCGAGGGGAACCATTCCCCACCATATGAGCCGCATGTTCCTCTACTTGCCGGAACTTCTCAGTGAGTCGCAATTCCGATCCGGTGGTAAATTCGTTGAAGCACTGCTCTTGCTAGGGCTAGTGTTAGCAAATCCCCTCAGGTTGAGTCCGTGAGCTCACCTACCCGTCCGCGAGAAGTCCGCTAGCAATTACACAAAGTATAGGAGGGACAATGTAAAGGAGATTACTCTAAACTATATAAAATATGTAAAATTTTACCGGCTAGCCTGAAACATAAATATCTTCTACTTGTAAACAATCATAGTAAACAGGATCGTTTAACTAACTTGGTGCAACATAAAACTGGCACAAGGTCAATGTCCAAAGGAAAATTTGAAATACCCATGGTACAAAATTACTATGGAGATAGAACGTTAAANACTCTAAACTATATAAAATATGTAAAATTTTACCGGCTAGCCTGAAACATAAATATCTTCTACTTGTAAACAATCATAGTAAACAGGATCGTTTAACTAACTTGGTGCAACATAAAACTGGCACAAGGTCAATGTCCAAAGGAAAATTTGAAATACCCATGGTACAAAATTACTATGGAGATAGAACGTTAAAAAAACGAGTTCCATACTTACTCAATAGTTTACCCGAGGACATAAGACGTGAGCCTATACTTGCTAAATTTAAAAGTTTATTAAAAAAACATTTGTTAAATACGTTGTAACCATTTACGTAAATTAATTGTGTTATTATAGTATAACCTAGTTTAATGGTTTATAGGCTATGTTTGTATAAAGCGAGTTACCTGCAGTCAAACTGCGTAAGCAGTTTTGCGGGGCATGTTTTGAATGTAAGTGTAACTTTTTACGAATAAATATATTACATACATACATACATTACATTACATCACTGAAGTAGGAAATCTACATTACATACATAATTTGGCAGGTTTGATTTTTATTACGCGATGTCATTCCTTCATCGTGGAAGTCAATTGTGAACATTTATTACCATTACAATATTACAATAAAAATCTAAAGTTCATATTTTAATTGAACAGTACTGATACGCAAATGTCTCAACAGACATCTAGAAAGATCTAAAATCCAATACAAGTCACACGATTATAAACCGCTATTAGTCTTAATAAGAGTCATGTTAGACTGGAAAGCTGATAGGATAGGAAAGCAGTGATATTCCCCTTAACTCGTTGTCTGTGTAGGAAACCTGATCGCAACCCCCTCTAGCAGAGCTGACGAGAAAACGAAGATTAGTCTGCGCATAGAGAGTTTAAATTTATTTAATTGTTACTATATCGAGCGGTGAAAGGATGTTTTGTTTAAGCAATATTTTTTCAAGTTTACAAGAGAGCCATATAGAGTTTAAAATGATCATAAAAAAAAAAAACTTCAGTTATGTCAATGGCGTAAACATTAGCTTCTTTATATCTGTAGAGCATCGTTGTGTAGTCCACGGGCAGCAGTAACAGCAATGAATCAGATGACGCCGCGTGTTTAGGAATGGAGAAAAAAAACCAGATTTTTTCGCTATGACGGCTGGAGCCGGATCGATTGAGCATTTCACCAGTGCTAATAACTATTAGTAGATTGAAATGGAATTTGAAATTCATTTCTAATATTATTATGCATTACTATATTGTTACGCCGGTAAGAGTAACGACATCTATCGATGAATAGCAGAAGCGAATTACAAAGGAACTAGTAACATCGAGAACGCTCGAGAAGTACAACGCCACCTATTGTCAGATATCGAAAACGCATATCGAAAATACTCGACTTGTGAGGAATGTTTTCGATAATTCTAGGGATGTCGTGTCGAATATAAAAACGTTGCAGGGACGTCATGAAGTCAGTTAGCAATCGGATCTATTCGAAGCGAAACAGCGAACAGATCACCTGAAGCGAAGTGGAAGAAGTGAATTAAGAATTTTAAACTGTTCGTTAAGTGTTGTAAGTGTTAATACATTTTTAATTTGTACTTGGGTAGAATTTTTATTTATCCCGTACCCCAGCGCTTAACAATTTAATATTAAAAATGACACGCAAGATTGGATACGTTATCGCAAAAATTCGATTAATTTTAAATACGAATTTTCTCTATAACTCCATAGTAATCTGTATTCGTGAATCGCGCTATCAACATTTACGCGTAACGTAGAATAAAAGCAAAATCTCGGTTCTAGACTACCGGGGAGTCCTGCGCCACGGGCCGAAGCGGTATGTTGCAGCCGCTAAACTCGCAAATGCAAACATACATCCAAATTTAGACCCTAAGTGACGGTGTTAACGAACCAATTTCAACATTTGCCATTCTGTCGACTGCACACTTAAATTGCTCTGACTGTATTCGGGTACCGGCGACATTTATCTATAGAATGACGAATGCTTGAATAAAAATGCTTGAAGTTTGAGATTTCCGAGCCCACGTGGTTGATTTGACTCCTTTTTTGGTAGTTATTTTTTTTAACTGATTTTTTTTATTGACCTTGTAGGCAGACGAGCGTATGGCCCTGACGGTGAGCGGTTACCGTCGCCAATGGACTTCAGCAATGCCAGGGGCAGAGTCAAGCCGCCGCCTACCATTAAGTACTCTCCACAAGCCTCGTTTGAAGAAGGACATGTCATAGCGCTCGGGAAACACCGTGGAGGGGAGCTCATTCCATAGCCGGATGGTACGTGGCAAAAAAGATCTCTGGAAACGCACTGTGGATGAGCGCAGTGGCTCTAGGTAGTATGGATGAACTCTATTCCGGTGGCGAGCGGTGCGATGGTAAAAACGAGATGATGGATTCATCTCAAACAATTATACAGTGTGCTTAGTGCGAATTTTTTTATGTTCTCGATAGCGTAAAAGTTAACTCAAAGTATGCAGTTGGAACAGCGCCCCTAGCGGCAAACGTAGGCAAACGTTCCAACTGCATACAAATTTGAGTTAACTTTTACGCTATCGAGAACGTTAACAAACTCGCACTAAGCACAAAGAGCACTTCAAATAAATCTTAGATTTTTCTTTACGTGAACCGATATTAATGATTTTCTCTCTTTTTTGTTTAAAAGCTACTGCTTCTTGTCTGATCGGTGATCCTATTTTAATCATATCAAGGTCCGACCACAAGTTATCCATAATAATACAATTGTTTTCCTACCTAAGATGGTGGCCTTGAGAGATTATGCTAGCGTAACCTAACTGATAGGGTGGACTAGCGGCTATAGCAATTAATTAAAACGTAAATTAAATACTTGAAAACATTGTGTTGACTTGCACATCAAAAGTAAAAGGAACATAATACAAATTCAAATATAGTGCATCATAGACAATTATACGTGGACAGCATCACGACCTTCCAACACCTTCTCCTGATGTTCACTCATGTTGCCGAGACACGTTTCTATACATGCATTAATCTTGCACAGTGTCTTTCAAATTTTACTTTTGACAATGGTTTTGTCATTACGTCAGCTAACTGAATNGCTCTGCTACCACTGATAGGGTGGACTAGCGGCTATAGCAATTAATTAAAACGTAAATTAAATACTTGAAAACATTGTGTTGACTTGTATAAGAGAAAATATAATTCAGAATGACACCGCACATCAAAAGTAAAAGGAACATAATACAAATTCAAATATAGTGCATCATAGACAATTATACGTGGACAGCATCACGACCACTAATTTTTAATTTTTCCACCCTATCACTAACAAATTTGATGAGCTCACGGGGCTCTAACCTGACGACGTTGCTAACACTAACCCTTGCAAGAGCCGTGCTTCGCTGAATCTACCACCGGATCGGAAACGCGTCCCTCTGAGAAGATCCGGCGAGAAACTAGAAATAGTTAGCTGATTCGACTACAGAAATTATGTTTTTTGTTTGTGAAATACTTTATTTAGTACACGACACGCTAACCGTAGGTATTATTCGGTGATGTGTGTTTCAAAGGAATCAAACTTGGAAACGCATCCAAGCAAGTTCGATGATTGTCTTGATTATGTTCTATTTTGTTTGTTAAAGTCGGTTTTTATTTGTGATAAAAACTAATAACTAACTCACTCGAATATCGCCGACAGTTTGGTTTTAAAATAAAAATATTTAATTTGCTATGAGCGATTTCATGTGATGATATTTTTTCTTTTTTCCGATATAAATAAGTCAATTTTCACCTTGTTCCATTTTCCTTCTCTTTATATTAAAATTTATCCTAAATCTAAATTCTAGGTCTTTTATTCGCTATTCTTTGAGATATCGTGTGAGTGTTTATCGGCAGAAATAGCGTCATTTTTTTTTCTATTTTATTGTGCCGCCTTGTATAGATACAAACATATTCTCAAAATTTCATCTTTATGTGACTAATCCGAGTTAATATAAGCTCCTGTGACTCACGGACAGACACGGTAGGTTTGTCTTCCAACAAAAATAATTATGTATCATGTATGTCAGCGCCATCTAGCGAATTCTATACATTTTTACTGAAAAAGTACTGAACTTTTTGTTTTAGATGTCAAAGATGCCATCTGCTAATCGCAAATGCGAACTAATCTCAAATATTACATTTGGCGAGAACTTCTATTTTCTTCTATGGTATTTTTAGTCACGTACTAGGGACTAGGTCCTGCCACTGTCTATTGAGACAGCAAAGAAGTACCTAAAATCGGTTGTACTTTTCAATTTCCACTGGCCACCCAAAGCTTTTACTGCGCAAGTCAATACAATGTCATATTATGTTTTGTCAAATCTACGTATTGAACACTGATAGAATTGAAATTGCTAACTAAACACGTATTAATCGTTAAAATAGTTATATTGTAGTACTCACGCGACTTATTCACAAATTATTTGCAAATAAATGTCACTATCCAATCACTGGATGGCACTTTGAAATTAGCGATCGAAGTTGACAATTGAGGTACTTATTTAATGATTCTTTATTGATGATACTTAGTAATAATTATAAAATAACTAAAAAGGAGTTTAAAATACACACAAAATTCAATATTTATCTTAAAAGTAAGTATTTAATAAACGTAATTAATAATAAAATGTTTTGAACAAATGTCTGTTGGATATTTTTATTAACATTTCCGATGTTAGTAAAGTGATCAATATGTTTAAATGTTTAACGATGTTGACATTGCAAATTAAATGTTGTAATGATTATACAAGGATTTTCAGTCGAATTAATGAAAAAAAAATGTATATAATAATATACAGAAAGTATTGTCATAACAATCAATGTATTTATTTACAAATATGATTCAATACAAAAAAATAATAACAAACGGCTTATAACCTATGTTTTAATAGTGATAGATGAAACGTATTTATATTAAAACTAGCGACCCGCCCTCGCTTCGTTTCGGAAACTGTAATTTATTACTGATTTCTCCACTATTTAATGGATGTTATTATACATATAAACCTTCCTCTTCAATCACTATATCTATTAAAAAAAACCGCATCAAAATCCGTTGCGTACTTTTAGAGATTTAAGCATACATAGGGACAGACAGATATAGGGACAGAGAAAGCGACTTTGTTAAACTATGTAGTGATGAGCTTTAGATCTTGAGAAATGTTAATTTTTTGTTTTCAGACAAATGTCTACAGGAGGCAGTGGAGCTGTATTTTTCCTCGGAACTAGAGCTCATTATCAGGTTTTTATTACAAAATAATATGATCATTTTTCAGATATGTAATGCCAGCCAGTGCATTTCTTCTTCTTTAGTTTTTGGCTCCGGCACGGTTTGTGCATTAGCCAGCGTCAAGTGATAAAAATTTTTATAATTCGCCGTCATTTTTTTTATAGTTTATGAATAGTAAAAAACAATGGAAACTTAATCAATCGGCATGATGCAAATGAGATGAGATGATATGGGATGAAATATGATCTTAGTAAAATAGTGGTCATTTACTGCCACTTTCTCAGTGGACTGTTTGGAGGATCCCGCAAAGCTACGTCCAGCGGCTTTGTTTCATTTTCCCACAATTGTGCTCTTTCACAGATGCTAAGCAGTTAATAAACCATCGTTATTACACATTTAAACCTGAAGAAACACTAAATAGACAAAATAAAACAAATCACACAACTTCACTCCTCGCGTTCCCGCCAAAAAGTCCAGCCAGTGCATTTACGCATCTTAACCCTTTTAGTGCTGAGCTTATTTTCACATATTTTGCAAAAACTGCCAGAGGGTTTTTGAAAACGAAAAAGTACCTTAGACAAAACTTTTTTAAACAAATCCCCGTCATTCCCTCTCCCTTCAAACCGAAACGCGTTACTGCTTCACGGCAGAAATAGGCGGGGCGGTGGTACCTACACGCGCGGACTCACAAGACGTCCTACTACCAGTAAAATTTTTATTTGTTGTAATTTGTTTCCTTTAAAAAGCCACAACAACTTTCCGTTCAGGTCCTCCAACGGCCCGAAAATCGTTTCGATTTGGATAACGGCAACGAATCAACGGAGTCCATCTATCAGAATCGTTCGGCGCAAGAGCTGTGGCCTGAGGGTAAGATGAAGGATTCGGACAACAAGAACCGCGTTAAAGAATGCAATTGGAGCTACGAAAACGAAGTTAACGGTGAGTTTGCGAATTGTTTTAAACTCTAGATGCTGTAGCGACGCCCCGACTATTTCTGCCGCGGCTTGGCAATTTTTTTTTTATTCCTATCTAAGCTGAGACCCTTGAGAGGCCATTTCAGCGTAACCTTAACTAGTAGGTGAGCTCACGGGGCTCAAACCTGACGACGTTGCTAACACGAACCCTAGCAAGAGTCGTGCTTTGCAGAATCTACCACCGGATCAGAAACGCGACCCACTGAGAAGATCCGGCGAGAAACTCAGTGGGCTGTGTCTGAGGGTTCTTGGCAATGGCGTAGCGATCTTAACTCGCGCCCAGATCACAATACCTTTTTAGCATAATATTTTCCAGAAATCAATTATAATACAAGAAAGATATCCAGCAATTATTTGTTTTGTGGACTATTTGGCGCCCCTTTGTGAGTACCGGGGCACGATGTCCCTCCTTGCTCCGCAGGATCGGGAATGTAGTTACCGGTGGCCACGATGATAGGGTTCTCGTGTCGTGCCGCTTTCACGAAATGGCGCATTGATGCCGACTGTAGATACTTAATGATGGACTCTAGGTCCAGGTCGTCGTGTAAGTCAACGTTCCTGGCGAACCACGGGGCTCCGACGGCTATCCTGCAAAAACGGGATTAAATGGTTTGAAGGGGTTTCAAGTTGGTGCGGGCCGCGTGAGCGAACACTACACTTGCATACGTCATGACGGGGCGTATGCAAGTTTTGTAGAGTGTCACCTTATTACGAAGGAACAATTTACTTCATTTGCAAATCATTGGATAGAAGCGTCCTAGTATGAAGGCGGAACGATCGCGTTCCGTCTTTAGTCTGTAGGGGCTTGGAAGATGTGGCAGCCGTTGTACTGCATTGACGTTTTCATGTCTACAGGCTCCAGTAACCATTTAACATCAGGTAAACCGCGAGCAATAACAAAAAAAAACATTGATTTATTTACGATATGTCCTGCTTTCAGTGTCCGATGAGAAATTAAGAGAGGAAAACACAGGCAATGGAATCATAAGTCGTTCGATGCGACGCGAAAGCGAGACGGCCTCTTGTGAAAAGGACAACGATATTAAGCCTGCCTTGTTGAACATCGATCCAGATAGGTAGGCGTGACGTCAGCAGACTTCAGCCACAGGACCATCAAGGATAGAACTGATTATAATCTCAGTGTATTAAAAAGTGTTCGCTGAAAGGGACCTAATTAAGATGGCACTACTGTAGCAAGTGGAACGATTTTAAAAACAGCGCCATTAATTACCACACTTCTCTTCAACCCAGCCCACTTTACTCTGTGTAAAACTGCTATACTCATAACATTATTATATATTTAACCCGCAAAATTATAATTTGCGTAATTAATCATGGTAGGACCTCTTGTGAGTCCGCACGGGTAGGTACCACTACCCCGCCTATTTCTGCCGTGAAACAGCAATGCGTTTCGGTTTGAAGGGTGGGGCAGCCGTTATAACTATACTTGAGACCTTAGAACTTATATCTCAAGGTGGGTTGCGCATTTACGTTATAGACGTCTATGGGCACCAGTAACCACTTAACACCAGGTGGGCTGTGAGCTCGTCCACCCATCTAGGTAATAAAAATAAAAATATATATAGGCCTTCAAACTTGAGATCTATATTTCGATTGCGTTACAATTACGCGAATTATAATAATATATTTTGCGGATTGGTACTAGATATGTGTCGTTCGTTCAATTTTAGAGATTCAGATCAGTACTGACCTGTTGACAAAATGATCCGGTTCGTACGACCCGTTCAGTCGAACGAACGACTAAGCGAGAAGGGCGCGGGGCGAGACGCGGCAACCCGAAATGACCCGAATGACCGTCGTACTCGTATGGTTCTTTTCTTCTGATTCGTAGGTTTTGTGTTAAACGAGTCGATTTAGTGAATGAACGACTCATATTTTTTGAAGTGACACTATCGTTCGCGCGGAATTTGAGACAGGGTCGTTTGACTCGTTCGTTCGCGAACGACACATATCTAATTGGTACGATTTTTATTGAACGATGTTATTCCGTCTGACGCACTGACAATCGGTGGGGCACAAAAAATACTGGATTGGGGACCTCGTGCTGGACGTCGTAATTTGGACGGACAGCTAACGGGGTGGACCGATGATCTGATCAAAGTGGTTGGTAGGGAGTGGATGAGAAAGGCAGCAGACCGAAGAGAATGAGGTGCATTCGAAGAGACCTACACTCAGCATTGGGTGGAGACGGGTTAAGGAAAAGTTTCCTTATAGATATATTCGATTTTTTTTTACCTTTTTACGGGATTCGAACTCGGGTACAGTCACGTCGCTCGATACGACTGCCCCCGCGTCTTATCCTCCAGGCCGCGACTTATAAGCTGATATTTGCGGCAGTGCGTCGTCTCCGAAGCCGCGTCGGCGTCGTCACTTCCTGTCGCTGCTGTCGTCGCTGACGCGACGCAAGCGACGCCACGACGCTGACGAGACCCAATACCTGCGCCACATCGAAAGCGCGCTGATGACCTGCACGTACAAGGAGTCCTGTCGCTGTCTCGACTGTCAGGTGAGGCCCGGGATCCTAATCACTTACAGCTTCAACTTTTCAGGGTTATTTTTATATCTTAGATGGGTGGACCAGCTCTCGACGACATCTACAACCTAAATGCTGTCACCTACATTGATATATGAGTTCTAAGGTCTCAAGTATAGTTACAACGGCTGCCCCGCCCTTCAAACCGAAACGCATTACTGCTTCACGGCAAAAATAGGCAGAGTGGTGGTACCCGTGCGGACGCTCAAGACGTCCTACCCCCAGTAAACGGTATTATAATGTAGGTAGTATCGTCAAAGAATTATTCAGATTCGTTCTAAAGGGCGTTTCACCACCACCCACCACCACACTGGCGTGTTGGGAATTCGCAAAGGAAGAAGGCAGATAGCGCGTTTCGGTTTGAGGGGCGGGGCAGCCGTTGTATAGGTGGATAGCGGCATTTACGTTGTAGATGTCTATGAGCTCCGGTGACCACATAACACCAGGTGGGCCGTGAGCTCATACACCCATCTTCTTCTTCTTCGTCGCTTTCTTCATTGTTGAAGGTCGTGTCCCTGAAACTTGACCGTTGCCTGTCTCGTGAGCTGTTTCCATCTCGTCCGGTCCTCAGCTGCTCGAATGGCGGTTACGACTGGCAACCCAGTTAGAGCGGTTACTTGATCACACCAACGGCTAGGTAATCGGCCGCGGGGTCTCTTTCTTTCTACTTTGCCCGTCACAATCACATTGCCCAAGTTATCTGACTGTCGGCGGGCAATATGACCGAAGTAGCTGAGGATCCTCTGGTCATCTAAGCAATAAAAAAAAAACGTTAAAATAATACAAAAATTCCAATAGTAAAAACTTTATTGTTTATTGCCAAATTCAGTAGGTAACCGATTTAAGAAAAAAATTTCAGCACCAATATACACAATCCAAAATATTGTCTTCACGTTAACATTTAAGCTTAAATTTAAAAAATATATAAGTTAAACTAATTTTATTAATGCCTATATTCACGCGACGAAGTCGAACTAATAAGGTACCTAATAATTTTCCATACTGTCCATAGTTTATTAAATAATATAAATGGCGCCCGCGACCCAACATTTACAAAATATAGCCAATGAATTGAAGTCTCAAATCTGCAAGCGTGGTAAGGCCTCTTGTGAGTTCGCACGGGTAGGTACCACCGCCCTGCCTATTTCTGCCGTGAATGCATTTCGGTTTGAAGGGTGGGCCGTTGTAACTATCATTGCGACCTTAGAACTTATATCTTAAAGTGGGTGGCACATTTACGTTGTAGATGTCTATGGGCTCCAGTAACCACTTAACACCAGGTGGGCTGTGAGCTCGTCCATCCAAGCAATAAAAAAGCGTACGTAATTACGTCACATTTCCTTATTCCTTTACACAGACCAAAGGTTAAGAAAAATAAAGCTTCTAGATACATTCTAGATTCATTATGGCTCATTATTATTTCCTCCCTGTTATTGTTTGAATAGTGTCATTGTGTGTTGTCGCTGTCTATTCAGAGACAAACTTTACAATTATCTGTTTTTGTGCACTTATTTTTTAATTTTCCCTCTGAATGGAAAGTATTGTTTGAAACAGTTTCTCAAACACATAATGTTAAGAAGTTGGTTGATAATGAAAACTAAAATAATTTTTTCGAATGAGACAGGATTAAAAAGTTTTAAATAAATTTAGTTAAATGAGTCGTCTATTATCAAAGGTGGCAATCTGTGCATTTGGACAAAAAAAATTTATTGATATGTCAATACAGATTGATTTGAATATAATCGTCTCCTTCAAAGAATACGGTTCAACACCTGCATTAAATAAAGGTTAATACTTAACCTGTTATTTATCTAAGATGTCGTTCAGAAGAGTTTTGTGACTGCCAATGGAATACAAAGTCAATAATTCGTTTTTCTGATTTACCAATAATTGTCCAAAAGTCAGATTGCCGGCTTTGATAATAGTTGACTCAAATGACAAAAGTTAGCTTTTGAAGATAGAATCAATGAGAAAAATTTTAATACAATTCACAAGATATTGAGAATGTAATGTTAACCTTTGACTATAGCAAAATATTAAATTGAATTCATGATTTTCTTTGTCACAAATTGCATGAAACCATCCACTGCATTTTATCCCTATAAATAAATTATAAATTTTGGTACATCACATGTACAAATAATTAACTTTAGGATTATCTCAAAATCGATGTTGGTATTGTTCTACTATTTTCTATTACTATGCTTTTAATCAGCCTGAAATATCAATCAGCGGTCATTTTTAATTTTTTGCCACTTCCAATCAAACTTAATTCAGAATCCAGCCTTTGATTTTGAGAAAGATTCTCTTCAATCCAATAATTACTCAAACAATTCACTCTTCAATTAATGAGGTGTTTAGTAAACTCTATTGATAAAATATTTTGTCTAAAGCGTACACATAAAACAAATTGTCTTAAAAATGAAATGGCGAATTGATTTATTACAATAGAATGAGAAGTAAACCACTACTAAGGAGCTAGATAGTTTCACTCAGAGGCCCGATAGAGGTATCAACAAATTTGTCAATGTCATAATCAGAATGTAAATTCTCATTTTCCTTTTCGGTGCTTTTATTTCTCTCGTCTATCCTGGTGCACTTGAGGCAGGTCTGTCCTTTACGGAGCCAACAGCCTCTGTGATACATAGAATTGCACTTCTCACACATTATCGCTCCACTATCAAAGGGGTACAACACTTCGTTGTTGCTGCACACTTCACACAAATAACCTTTGCCTGAACATAGAGGGCAGTTTGTTATATGTGTCCGACAGACCTCTGTCAGTTCAGTCAATTCAGTTTCTAACGACCCGTCATTGATCGCCTGTAAGTGTGACATACTGTACTTCTTGTTTACATCTCCCAGTTGGACGAATAGAGGAGACAGGAGAGTTGTGCCTTCGGTGCAAGCGCACAGGTATCTACGCATCCATTCCAGGTCCTTGCGCATCTTGTGAACCCATTCCAATTCGGCAATGAAGCTAAAGAGCTTAGAATTAATGTTTTCAATGTTTATGTATGGTCGTGACCATGCTATACTTAACATTTGGTAGGCCAGGCGTGAGACGTAACGTTTCTCCCAATCCCAGTTGTGGACAACTCGAGCAGGTATCGCAAACTGATCGTTCCAATGGCATGTTGTACAGAAATAAAGACCTGTATAGTCACATAATCGAGGCTCGTTCCAAGAATCCTTAAAAGTTAATGTGGTTTCACATTCAGCACATTTATAATCTTGTGCTGCTAAGCCTCTTTCCGGGCAGATGTTCATGTCAAACTCCCCCTTTTCTGTCATCACGACATGAGCACACACTCTGCATATGTGATCGATGCATTTATAATGGCACAAGTATCCACAGTCTGTACAAATATATGAGCTCTGAACTATACTCCATATTACACCGCTGCAGTGATCACAATACTGTTTGCGGTTGTTTGGGTTGACCTGCTGCTCGAAGTGATGACCTTTGATGGATACTTTGACCCTGGTCTGACCCTCATTGTCCTTCAGGTCCTCTAACCTCAGCCTGAGCTCGACTAAATAACGCACTAGCCATTTGCGTTCGTCGGAGCATTGTGAACTGTTCAAAATTAGTTCTTTACATTGATTTATAGCTTTTTCGATATCTTCTTTGGTCGCAGAGCTGTGTATCTTAAGTTTCTTGTTCGCTATCGATTTCGGTATGTAGTTTGAGTCGTAACTCTCGTCAGCAGACACGCAACCAGAAGTCGAGGAGGATGGGCTTCGATCCGTAACGGAAGTCCTGGGATTACAGCATATCAAACTGCCACGGTATTTAGGCGAATCATGAGCGAGAGCCGCTGCCATTGTGTGCGAAAGCAATCGGTTCCCGCCGTAACAAAGGAACATCAACAAATATGATAAAACTTTTTTCAAGGTTTTCTTCGGAATTGATCGGCCATTTCTCTCGTTCAAATCACTTGTACAAACTTAACGTGGTCTGATATATTTGTACTGCGTTCTCGTGACGTTTCCGTGTTTACATTTCCTTTGTTTTGAATTAAATTGCTATTTTTTTGCAATCAACACAAAAATGTTTCGTCATAACTTTGACATTTGGATTTTACTCCTCCCCGGTTGGCTGACCTGATTCTAGCTACGATCCGTACTACGTAACAAATTTGTAAATTTCAAAATTGACTGCTCAATTGGAATAAAACGATCTAAAACATAAAAAACAGAATAATTATAACAAAAACAAAGAGGGTATAAAAGAATATTAAACAATAATAAAATTATTCCCAAGGCATTTATCCAATCGTTAACTTTCCATCAATACTCTACAAACGGAACGCAGTACGCAGGCGTGCCAACTTTACAGTACTATTAAACGCAGCTGACAAGGTCAATATTTTTTAATCTACACTGCTAGTTTCTAAAGCCCATAAACAAAGTAACTAGTTTTAAAAACACAATGTATTGCAAACAAAAAATTTGGAGACGATCCGATTGCAGATTTAAAATGAGGTCATGCTTATTTTGACCTCCTTACCTCGATACCTATATTTTGCTATAACTAAACTAGTTATGCAAATAATTAGAAATATCAGTGGGTCATACATTTTGTAATCTGACTAATTAATGTAAATATAGGTTTCCTTGTATTATGATAGATGTTTATTTGCTGTTAATTATGACAGTACGCCATTTTTTTTCTTTTCTTTTTATGACTTGAGATAAGGCAGTCAACCTGATCACCTATACCATCCTCCATGACCAATGAGTTTTTTTTTTTTTTTTTTATATTTTAACACCCGTCATCACAGAGCGTTACTGTTTCCCCTAACATAGGTCAGAGTCTTTTTACATCCAATTCGTATTTAGATTTTAACTTACACCCTATCCATTCTATTCTTTCTTTGGGAGATCCTACCTACTATTATTTATTTTATCTTTATTAATATTTCGTTACTGACTACTAACAATATTTCGTCTTATTCTAATAAACCCCACCTGTCTTATATATATTTTATTATTAATCTATGTCCATTGTTGCCATATCCTTATTTCTCTTACTATTTCAATAACCTACTTATATCTATTACATATTTTCTTGTTCTTTTTGCACATCTTGACCAATGAGTTCGAAGTTTCATCATATGCCCGAAGCTTTCAATCGGAACACATGACAAAGTCGCCGTAGAAATACACAGAAAGGAAATACTCCTGCTTACAGGAGTCAGAGATGACGGTCCTGATTTTATTAAGAATAAATGTTATTTATTTATTCCGGAGTTATCAGACATCGCACGCAGTAAGCCACGGATACTTCGATTAAGAGAGAGAAACAGAATTATATTATCTATACTTTATTCCTTCCATTGTGTTATTTTTACCGACTTCACAAAAGGAGGTTCTCAATTCGATTGTATGTTTTTTTAGGTTTGTTACCTCTTAACTTTTGACTGGAGGAATAGATTTTGATGATTATTTTTTTATTAGCTTCCTTTGTGGTCCCATTTTATTTAGTTCAGTTTTGATAATGGTATCCATGAGATAACCATGTAAGTCTTAAATTTGCATTAAGTACGTGCGCGACAAATAGATGAATAACTCAATAACCCAATATCACGCCAACCGATTTCGATGATTATTGTTTTTAGTGTATACTAACTGACCTGGTAGACTTCGTAGTGTCTCAATCGATAAATAAAAGACCTAAACTTTTGTATAAAATAAACTTTAAACGAACAAAAGGAATCCGTCCGACAGGGGACACATCAAAGGGAAAACAAAATTATTATTTTTATTGAATTCCGAGCATTTTCATATTTATTTACTTTTTAAACCTTCCCTGGACTTCCACAAATAATTCAAGACCAGAATTAGCTAAATTGGTCCAGCCGTTCTCGAGTTTAAGCGAGACTAACGAACAGCAATTCATTTTTATATATATATATATATATATATATATGTATATATATAGATTAAAGATTAATTTGTTTCGGAATATCTTTTTCTATTTGAAGTCGGTTTTTGTTAAAGCATTTCGATTTACAATCATTAGTTACCTAAGTAATCTTTGGGAGCCTACAGTAGGTACTAGTTCAAATAGGCGCGAACGGAAAATTTGATCATAAACTCTTATGGCATCGGAGCTTATCACGGTTTCTTTATTATAGAGCCGTTACTTCGAGTGTGACGAGAGCGAGGATTACTCGTCGGACGACAGCGACTATTACCCTCAGCAGATCCTCCCTCCAGCGCCGCAGCCGATGCAGCAGGAGGAAGATGACGAGGTGAAAAGATATTTTCTTTTAATATTGTGATGGGTGGGCGATCTGACAGCCCAGTCGCCATTGACTAGTTACCGGAGCCCATAGACGTCTACAACGTAAATGACGACACTCACTTTTTACTGGTGGTAGGACGTCTTGTGAGTCCGCGCGGTTAGGTATCACCACACTGCTTATTTCTGCCGTGAAGCAGTAATGCGTTTCGGTTTGAAGGGTGGCGCAGCCGTTGTAACTATACTGAGATCTTAGAACTTATATCTCAAGGTGGGTGCCGGCATTTACGTTGTAGATGTCTATGGGTTCCAGTAACCACTTAACACCAGGTGGACTGTGAACTCGTTCACCCATCTAAGCAATAAAAAAAAAGTGACCTAAGCTATATATGATAGTTGAATTTACATTAAATACTTCGTAGCCAAAAATAATGTTTACAAAGCCATCTGTTATCTATGTGTGAAACTAGGGATAAACCGTTTTTTTCATCAAACGGAGAAACCCGAAATTCATACAAACTTGGGCCCGGCGTTACAGTGCTAGAATTTGGGCATAAATTACAATACCTTAGAAGGTTTCATGAGCCCAATTTTCAGGTCTCCCAGCAATGGCCAATTTGGTAAATGAGTCGACTATTATCAAAGCCGGCAATGTGACTTTTGGACAATTATTGGTAAATCAGAAAAACGAATTATTGACTTTGTATTCCATTGGCAGTCACAAAACTCTTCTGAACGACATCTTAGATAAAAAACAGGTTAAGTATTAACCTTTATTTAATGCAGGTTTTGAACCGTATTCTTTGAAGGAGACGATTATATTCAANGCAGGTTTTGAACCGTATTCTTTGAAGGAGACGATTATATTCAAATCAATCTGTATTGACATATCAATAACATTTTTTTCTCCAAATGCACAGATTGCCACCTTTGATAATAGACGACTCAAATCACACAATGTTTACATTTTAGGTTATGTTTAGGTATTGTTCGAGATATTTTAATAAAAAACGATATTTTTGAGGCTGTTTCCTGCTAAAGATGAGTAATTTTTTACGAAACCTGTTGCAGCAACAGGTTGCTTGAAAATAAAAATGGAACCTGTTACGAGAAATCGCGCATTAGGTTGTTTACGAAAACGAACAAAGCCAAACATTAAAAACAACTTGTCATAACTAAATGGCACAGTTATTTATTTCTTTTAATGATTTTTGTTAGTAGATTTTGGTGCTTTATTGCGTTATTCAATGATATTAAGTCTGGCCAGCGAATCATGGCACAGCTAAATAGCGGCAATCCAAAATATCTTCAGTTGGCAATATTAAAGATAACATAACACGATTTGATACATTTGTGTTTTTCTATGGCATAGTCACATTAATATAAAAATGCAAAACTACCCTTTCATGCTATATTTAATGTTGTCAGCTGTAGATATTTTGAATTGCCGCCATTGTAAGTAGTTGTGTCACAATTCGATGGCCATAGTCTATTTACATTGATTAAAATATCTATAAAAAGTCATTTATCCTAAAACAAAAGAGTATTAATTATTTTTTACACTCGATTTCCACTAAATCGATCCCATTTTAGGGATGCTAATAATCCGCACGTTTGTGGAGCTAGTTATGTATATTGAAATAAGTGTTGTAGATGTTTACAGAGATTGTTTAAAACAAAAAATAGAATTCAACTTTTTTTCTACACTTGGCCATTGTCAATGAAGCTAAGATTTCAATAGGTTAATAGAGTCGTCTATTATCAAAGGCGGCAATCTGTACATTTGGACAAAAAAATTTTATTGATATGTCAATACAGATTTATTTGAATATAATCGTCTCCTGCAAAGAATACGGTTCAAAACCTGCATTAAATAAAGGTTAATAGTTAACCTGTTATTTATCTAAGATGTCGTTCCGAAGAGTTTTGTGACTGCCAATGGAATACAAAGTCAATAATTCGTTTTTCTGATTTACCAATCATTGTCCAAAAGTCAGATTGCCGCCTTTGATAATAGTCGACTCAANNNATTTGAATATAATCGTCTCCTGCAAAGAATACGGTTCAAAACCTGCATTAAATAAAGGTTAATAGTTAACCTGTTATTTATCTAAGATGTCGTTCCGAAGAGTTTTGTGACTGCCAATGGAATACAAAGTCAATAATTCGTTTTTCTGATTTACCAATCATTGTCCAAAAGTCAGATTGCCGCCTTTGATAATAGTCGACTCAATAAAGCAAAATAGACGAATTTTTTGATACATATGCCATTCGTGTAACGCTTAGGCCCAGAATGGGGTTTCTCCTTTATTATGTTTTAAAGAAATTGCAATATATAAGCACGAACATGAAAAATTGTGGGCTTGGCCACTTTTACGCCGACGGCCTCACAGCCCACCTGATGTTAAGTGGTTACTGGAGCCCATAGACATCCACAACGTAAATGCGCCACCCACCTTGAGACATAAGTTCTAAGGTCTCAGTACAGTTACAACGGCTGCCCCACCCTTCAAACCAAAACGCATTACTGCTTCACGGCAGAAATAGGCAGGGTGGTGGTACCTACCCGCGCAGACTCACAAAAGGTCCTACCACCTTAGGGTAACGTTGTTTGCAAAAAGCGAAATTTTCGGAAACACAACGCGTTCCAGGTATTTGTCGACACGGCTCCAAGCGATAACACCTCAACCGACATGCTTCTCGAGAAAGAGAAGGCATCGATATCTTCGGAGGAAGTCGACGAGTCGGAGGAGGATAACATGCATCTGGAAGTGGCGGCCGGAACGCCAATTCTTCTCAACTATTTACTGACACATCCGATAACGTGTGCCATACAGTAGTTGACTCGCCCCTCAAACAGCTGGTGGGTCAGCGAATCTCAAACTTTCGAATCGATTTTAGTCGATTATTTTCAAACTAAAATCGATTAACAAACAAGACAAGATTAACAATCAACAATTGTTCGTATTAAGCTGTTTAAGATGATTCGCGTTGATTTAAATGGATTACGCTTAGATGTTGCACTAATAGCTTTATGGCTGGCGATAATTTATTCACTCAAATCATAGAAATTGGGAAACTGTAAATGCTTGTCTTTTTTTTCCTACCTATGCTGATAGCCTTGAGAGGCTATATCAGCGTTACTCTAGCATGTAGGTGAGCTCACGGGGCTCAAACCAGGTGTTGCTAACTGGCCCTAGCTAGAGCAGTGCTTCGCAGAATCTACCACCGGATCGGAAACGCGACCCGCTGAGAAGATCCGGCAAGAAACTCAGTGGGATGCTTGTCCTTTATATAGTGGGTACCGGTAAAGAGAATTGCCTTAAATGGACAAAAAATATGAGTGGAAAGTTGTGACTTGGAAACACATACAGCGGCGATGTAGCGTCCGAGGTGTGATGTGCATGTAGATTGTTTCTTTGCTAAGTTGGATGGACGGCCTGGTGTTAAGTGGTTACTGAAACCCATAGGCATCTACAACGTAAATGCGCCACCCACCTTGAGATATAAGTTCTAAGGTCTCAGTATATATTAAGATCTAGTTTATTAAATCCATTGCGTAGCGCGTTCGAACTCACGGTCGACGCGGCGGATATCACTTTGGCCACATTCTATTTGTTCACTTACAATCGACGCGGCTTTAGTGTTCTTAGTGAGTGTTTTTTAACGTTCTCGATAGCGTAAAAGTTAACTCAAATTTGTATGAACGTTTGCCTACGTTTGCCGCTAGGGGCGCTGTTCCAAATGCATACAAACTTAACTTTTACGCTATCGAGATCGTTAAAAAAACTCGCACTAAGCACACGGCACTACTCGCTAGGGTTCGCGTTCAAGATAATTTCTCACGATACAAACACTATTAGCTATGCACAATTCGGATACGCTAAAGACGTAATTATAATCGTATGTGCCTAGTATGAATAATTCGAGAGGTGAACGGCTATTTGGATTAATGCGACATTTTTGCAACTTTACATGAGAGCTATTTAAAAGTTCAAATTTTGGAAAAAAAAAATCATAACAAAAAAAACTTGTTTTTATTTTTTATTACTAAGATGAGTGGACGTGCTCACAGCCCACCTGGTGTTAAGTAGTTACTGGAGCCCATAGACATCTACAACGTAAATGTGCCACCCATCTTGAGATATAAGTTGTAAGGTCTCAGTATAGTTACAACGACTGCCCCACTCTTCAAACCGAAACGCATTACTAGGTACTTCACGGCAGAAATAGGCGGGGTGGTAGTACCTACCCGCGCGGACTCTTAAGAGGTCCTACCACCATTAAAAAGATGTAAACCACTGTTGATGTTAATACCAAATAAGACGCACCTTTAAAAGATAAATGTCACGTATTAATGTAAGCAAAATGTCCCTTAAACCAAATATCTTTTCATCCCTCGATAGTACATAATATAAATAACCTAGTCTTTAAAATTTCAAGTCAACAAAATATTACTATGTAATTAAAATGGCGATTATATTATAGTTTCAAAATAGGTAAGCTAAAAAATAGTTCTTAGCTATGTGTACGTGGCTTAATTGTTGTAAAGGATATTCTAAGCAATAAAGGAATCTAAAGGATTGGATTTTTTATTTACTTATAAATTACGCACGGTTTCGCCCTGAATATTTTAAATGTGAACATAAGTGCTCTGAGGAATTGTTCGAGATGATACCGGCATCTCGTTTTCACCATCGCACCGCCCGCCACCGGAGTAGAGTTCATCCATACTACCTGGAGCCACTGCGGTCATCCAGTGCGTTTCCAGAGGTCTTTTTTGCCCCGTACCATCCGGCTATGGAATGAGCTCCCCTCCACGGTGTTTCCCGAGCGTTATGACATGTCCTTCTTCAAACGAGGCTTGTGGAGAGTATTAAGCGGTAGAGTTCTTTTAGTTTTATTATTAATTTAATTCATTTGATTCATACGTCAATGATTGTACTCTTGTACGATGATCAATAAGCGGTTAAGCATAACAAGTTTAATAAAACTCAAAATTAAAAGCACCCAATAATTTTTGTTAAAAATCAACCAATTTCAAGCACCGCTTTCATAAGCTTCAGCGGTAGGCGACGGCTTGGCTCTGCCCCTGGCATTGCTGAAGTCCATGGGCGACGGTAGCCACTCATCAGGTGGACCGTATGCTCGTCTGCATACAAAGGCAGTAAAAAAAAAATTCAAAATCATTAAGCACAAATCCGCCGTCATCATGAGTACCAGTTCAAAGATTGGGAGAGTCGATATAAAACACAATTGAGACTTCGACTGAAGTTCATTTATTAATTAAATAAAACCACAAACAAAAATCTCATTTCAAATTTTTATTCTTTCTTTTCAAAACATAATTAACGTGTTCCGAATATATTTTTTTTTAAATTATTAATTTTTATTATTATTATTCACGTTTTTTTTTTCTTTCGCCAACCCTCTCAACGTCACCTCCATTCAACTCACTTTATTGTAATCGAACGATTGAAGACAATAACAATTTTGGAAAATTTATCAAAATTACAATTACTTTTTTGTGCCTTTTAAAATAACGCTTCTCAATCTTACTCTCTATAAATAATGTAACTACGAGAAAATTTCTTGAATGGAAACCGAGGGAAATAGCTAACTTGCGATAACTCCACCAAAAATCACACTAACGGTAGTCCTTAAGCTAATTTCTACCTTAAAATTTAACTCCCCAAGATCGAAACTCAGACACCCGCCGCAGTCCATACGCTACACGAGCGCTTTGTTCCTCGCTAAAAGCATTATAACTAATCGTTAATATTTTTTATATATACAAAAGGCGTTTTTACACTATTCAATTTAGTTAAAAAATAATTTATCGCTTCCACATAAATTTCAAATTTCCTTTCCTAGTCAACTAGTGCCAACTTGTTATTTATATTTTTTATATTTATATTTCTTAACTTATTACAAATACTTTTTTTTAGAAATAAAACGCGTCCGCGCCAACCCTAGATCGTTAGGGTCAGCCCTGCGTTCCGCAGTACATTCGGCCACAAGACCATGGTCTTGCACGTTTATTTGCAGTATACGTCTTAACGAATGAATGGTGGCACATACATTGTACATAGAACCATTCACACGTCGTTTATACTACAGATGTAGCTCCTGAGTGAGTGATATAAAAGATATATATGCACGTGCTGTCGCAACCTATCGCATTTTGACGGTAGTTTTTGGCACATCAAAGAGCTTAACTGTTGAATTGAAGCCGCCAAACTTACCCACGTTTGCCACTGTGAAGCAATAGCGCCATGAGACCACACATGTTCAGCGCAGCCGGTTAAACCTCTAAATATGATGCTAATGAGCAAGTCATTTACTATCTCAAAATGTACACATGTTTTTTATTTTATTTTATTGCTTAGACGTGGGTGGACGAGCTCACAGCCCATCTGGTGTTAAGTGGCTACTGGAGCCTATAGACATCTACAACGTAAATGCTCCACCCAGATATAAGTTCTAAGGTCTCTCAGTATAGTTACAACAGCTGCCCCACTTATATGTTAAGTGTTCAAGGTCCAAATGTAGTTATGGGTCAACCTGGTGTTAAGTGATTACCGGAGCCCATTGACATAAACAATACAATCCCAATCCACCTCGAGACATGAAGTCTAAATCACAATTGTATAGTACACCGGCCGCCCCAATCTTCAAACCGAAGGCATGATTGTTTAGCAGAAGAACCAGGGATGGTTTTGGTACCCACTCATGTGGCTTCACCAGACTTTCAGATATCTTCAGCGTCAAATTTATTTAATAAACATACTCATTTGACTCATATTACGTTCTGTGTTATACAGGAGTAATGTATCACCAGGTTATTGGAGTGTCAGTTCTATTATTCTGAATAAATATATTAAAATCAATTAGTTATAATGTTTTTATACCTTAAACAACATGTCACAGTTTTGATTTATGACAATTGCCATAATATGATATTTTTTTTACTATCAATTGCACATTTAAAGAACTATCCCTAATTTTATATTAAGTATTTAATAATGAGCGGTGTCGGTCAATTTCTACAATACTAGATTAAACAATTTAATAAAACAATAATTTAACAGGACATTTCGTCCGTTTGTTGAGCTATTAACAGGAATCAGCTGTCATGTTTAATAATTAGAGGGAAATTTTTTTGGCTTACCAAAAAATTACTGCATGAACATTTACAAACATACATCTGTGTATTAGTCAAACTCAGAATAAAGCTCAGTAGAGGCATAAAGTCGGATATCAAAAATTCAATTTTAATTACCTCGGATTCTAATTATTTATATATACATGATGAGTGTTTTTTAAAGTTAATAAATATAGTTTTCTAAGTATGCCCTCGGTTTTATAGGAATTTAGACCTTAGTGCACCCACTTAAATTTAAAATTTCAGGTAATGCCTGACTTTAGATTAGACAAATATGAGCGTGGGGTCATTGACTTCGCACGTCAGCTTGTGAACAGTAATGTTTTTTCTGTGCAAAGATTATGTCAAGTAAATCTCTATATTTTAGGTACATACAGTATTACATGTGGACGCCATTATTAATGCAATGCAGTAAACCAAATCGAACGGTGGTTAATATTTGTACATGCACACATTATGCTGACTTAATTTTATAGTGGCACAAGTTATAATTATTTTAAAAATATTATTTTAAATTTATGGTATGGTATTATTTTAAAAAATATAAAAAATTTAAACATTACGCCTTTAATATTCTCACACACAAATCGGGTGCAACATATCACTCCTATTTCCTGCTCCTATGTATGCATGTGTGATTAGATGCTTGAAGGAAGATTGCAGATTTACAAAATAGTAACAACACTGTAATTTGAACCTAGATAAATTTGTATAGAAACAATAAAGTTGCATCATTACGGTTATTTCATACTATCTTTGCAATCTGTCGTAACATTTCTTATAATACTTTTTTTTTACTAAGTAGCTTTTACTTAAGTAGTTAAGTCTAGTAAGTAGTGACGTGAATACTTTAGTGTATATATCTAGAAATTCACAAAACATTGAATCAGAAAACAGCTAATATTTCCCACAAATATCTTTACCGTTATATGCTAGCGTTCCCTATCTCCATTAGTCGCCTAACTAAATCTGTCTAAAATATAGACTAGATTAAATCTTCCCAAAAAATGCCCATATAAGTAGAAACTGACTAATCAACATTAAAATTGTCCCATAATTTACCATGTTCTATTTAATATATTTGCCTCTTGTAAACAAATTGCTATCTGCTATGTGTGGCTATGTTTCTTAAACAGTTTGTATAGTATATCCCGGTATTCTAAACTAAGTCATATCATCGGAGCATATCACCAAAAAAAAACATATAGAAATATCTATGTTTTTTTTTCATTTTAGAGGAAGAGTAAATTGATTAAATAGTCTTCTATAGCTTCATGTTGATCAGAAACTTATAGCTATTACTAGCTATAGGTATATTTTGACTTGAACCACTATTGATTTCAGTCAGCAAATGCGAAACTCACAGAAGTCTATCTTCTCAAAAAATTTTTGTGTTTGGATAAAGACCATAATTCATTTAACTCTAAGAGACACTTAATTTTATATTATTATAAACCTAAATACTTAAGACTAATACAATAGAAAAGAACTCACAATTGTACATATCCAAGGAACGATTTGAATTTTCTCATGCAGACCGAATGCATTTCTATATGGTTTCGCGATACACTTAACGTTTCACTTGGAATTTACTAGAAGTTTTTTTTTAAAATTTTTTATTCCACTATTCCACTGTAATTTTATAGTTCACTGTTAATTTTTCTCAATAGTCATATACTAGCTACTGTAGTCTTTGTCACAACGATCATCGTGGTCCCAATATTTCTTATTCCTGGGTACCTCTGTAACATTTCTCCGCACTGGCTTTCCAGCCGACGAGTCCGTATCAACACTATCCCTTCGCCCTGTCTTCCCGTCCCTAGAGCTTCTAGAGATTGACCGCTCCTTGTATTCTTCATTGATACCGTCTTTGCTGTTTTGCTTCCAATTTTTCATTCTATTTTGGTTTGTATCTTCATTATCAGTTATCTCTTTTCTCCAGTTTTCAGCTGGCCTCCTGCTAGATTTCTGGGTTTCATTGTTGACCCTTTCAGTCTTGCGTTCCACATCTGACTCGCTCACTTCAATTTGACTTTTAGTTTCATTCTCATAAGTTTGTCTTTCATTGTTAATTTCCGTGAAATAATCACCTTGAGCATTGAAATTAACATTGTTCAATTGATTCTGTATGTAATTCCCGTCACCCTGTTGCAGATAGTTTGAATAGTCATCAGGGAGTTTGTACTGGTTCTGGTATTTTGTATAGTTCGGTGGTAAAACGGCTGGATTGAAAACTGGTTCATCGTCTTTCTTTTCCTCTTCTGCCTGCCTCCAACTGTTTAAATCATATCGTTTACTCAGACTATTCTTCGTTGTCCACGTATCAAAGTTATCTTGACTGACACACATTGCTTGTTCCTGTCTCAAGAGACCAGCACCGGCTCCTAATATTGGTCTGAGTTTGGGTTTTGCATCGTCATTTAGGATGACTTGAGATAAATTCTGCGCTAATGTTTCCTTCTCTGAAGTTTCCTTCCATGATCCATATGTGACTTCATTGTAAGTATCGTCTGTTGATAATTCTAGATGGGCTGCATAGAATTGCTGTAGAGTATTGGGGAGAGGTAAGAATTTGTTTAGGCAGAGATCAGCGGAGAGTAGCAGCCATATGATGCTGGGAGGTGGTGGAGTTAACAAACGAAGCCGTATAGAGATTGATAAGTCTTCTAGTTCCTGTCCTAGCACTGTCAATAGCTCGCGTCCATTTTGCATCAACTGTGGAAGAGTTAAGAAAAAAATTATTAACAGTTGATCATATGAACCTATGAACATTTTAATATGCAATTTCGAAAAGGGCAGATCTCTGAAAATGTAAAATGTTCAGGAAATGAAAAAAAAGCTGCTTATTTTCTATTATTCTATTATATTCTATTGTAAGATTTAAAATATTAACTTTTGAGATATATTTTAGTGTTAATTAGCAATTGAAAATGACTGGAATTATTATAAAATGCCTCAAAACTACATGTATATGAAAAAACGTATTTGACAAAATATGCGACATGTGCCCTTTTCGAAATTGCATATTCATTTGTTGCACACCTATTAATGCGAGCCAAAAAATTCAAACATATTTTTCTATACAATTAAGTATTTTAAAATGCAATATAAACTTGCTAGCATAATAATTGTAAATAGATAAGCTTTAAAAAAATACGAAAACTAGAAAAAAAAGATATTCCAAAACAAATTAATATACACTAAAAACAATAATCATCGAAATCGGTTGGCGTGATATTGAGTTATTCATCTATTTGTCGCGCACGTACTTAATGCAAATTTAAGACTTATACGGTTTTCTCATGGATATCATTATCAGAACTGGACTAAATTGGAAAAATGGGATCACACGGGAAGCGTCAGCTTTATAATAAAAAAAGAATCATTAAAATCGATTCACCCAGTCCGAAAGTTATGAGGTAACAAACGTAAAAAAAAAACAACAGTCGAATTGAGAACCTCCTCCTTTTTTTAAGTCGGTTAAAAAACTTAATTTACACTACTTTTATGATTGATTATTTCATAACTAAATCTAGTTACAAACTTGTACATTGTCATTAAATACCTGTGTGGCGAGACTCCGATGTGCTCTCACGTCATCACTGGCTAACAAGGACCTCACATACTGCAGTAATGGACTTGCCAATATGTGGACTTTGTTGCCGTTGCATAGTCTGGCCTCTGAAAAAATAAAACATTCGTCTCTTTAGTGGCCTGCTTTAGGGTCGATTAGCAAACCAACATAAGGTGCACATGAAAAGTGGAACATAATTTGAGAATAATATAATGTATTCTTTATTTATTTATTTAATATATTTTGTAAACACAGCTGTTAGAAGAAACACGACAATAAGGATACAGAGTACAAGGGCACTACTTCATGTTGAAATCTCTTCCAGTACGCCCGCAGAAGGAAAAAAGAATTAGGAACATAATCCTAGTGCATACAGTAATCATTACATATAATAATAATATATAAATATTACAAGATACAAAACAATATATGAGTCGACTATTATCAAAGCCGGCAATGTGACTTTTGGACAATTATTGGTAAATCAGAAAAACGAATTATTGACTTTGTATTCCATTGGCAGTCACAAAACTCTTCTGAACGACATCTTAGATAAATAACAGGTTAAGTATTAACCTTTATTTAATGCAGGTTTTGAACCGTATTCTTTGAAGGAGACTATTATATTCAAATCAATCTGTATTCACATATCAATAACATTTTTTTGTCTAATGCACAGATTGCCACCTTTGATAATAGACGACTCATATGTACATACTTTCTTTTTTTTTTTTGCATTTTTTTTTTATATTGTACACAAAATACACTAATGCAATCATTGCCGCTTGGCATTTATTTAAATTCATGCAAGGACATTCATGTTTTTGCACAATATAAATGGACAAACATTCTATATTTAATTCAATATTGAATTGAAGATACCTGCAAAATAATCACCCATCAGGTTGGCGGCGTTAACTAGATATTGTGGATTTGCTCGTTCCAACACATCTAATTCTGAAACGAAAAGAAAATGAAAATATTATGTATTTACTGGTGGTAGGACCTCTTGTGAGTCCGCACGGGTAGGTACCACCACCCTGCCTATTTCTGCCGTGAAGCAGTAATGAGTTTCGGTTTGAAGTGCGGCACAGCCCTTGTAACTATACTGAGACCTTAGAACTTATATCTCAAGGTGGGTGGCGCATTTACGCTGTAGATGGGATCCAGTAACCACTTAACACCGGATGGACTGTGAGCTCGTCCACCCATCTAAGCAATAAAAATTTAAAAAAAACTTGTCATATCTTCCGAGTTCAACAAGAAGATAAACAATAACTTACTAGAAAACGTTCCCTGCATTACTACATTGAGGAGGGATGCTCGTAGCAACTGCTGTCTTTGTTGTCTCGTGAACGAAGCACCCACAGCCGCCAGCTTGCGGCACGTCACCGAATTCAATAGGGCGGCAGCTCTGAACGTTGCAAACGCTTGTCTGGAACAAACACAAAACGTACTGGATTTATGGGACATTCTGATTGGGCGAATATTTAACGATTTCATGTTAACCCTTTTTTTTATTTTTATTTATTGCTTAGATGGTTGGACGAGCGCACAGCCCACCTGGTGTTAAGTGGTTACTGGAGCCCATAGACATCTACAACGTAAATGCGCCACCCACCTTGAGATATAAGTTGTAAGGTCTCAGTATAGTTACAACGGCTGCCCCACCCTTCAAACCGAAACGCATTACTGTTTCACGGCAGAAATAGGCAGGGCGGTGGTACCTACCCGCGCGGACTCACAACAGGTCCTACCACCAGTAATAACCCTTTGAGGTTCAGAACCACACGTACATTGAATCCACATACATTGAAATCCAACTTTTTGCTATAGCATTCGTTTGTGAAGCACACTTGCAATTTGACAAAATATTAGCCAAACTCAATGCTTCTAACCTCAAAGAAATCTATTCAAAAATAAATGTATACCAAAGTTTTTATTCAAATATTAAATTTACTGTTATAGTATATTTTAAACTTTGGCTGCGATTTACATATTATTACTTAATGAATTTTTATAATAATAATAATAAATTAATAATAATGAAATTTTTAATCATTAATTAACCACTAGTAAAGATGTATTGATATATCCATATATATTCGTACTGTGAACAGAGTATCTATAATCAATATCTAAAAGCCCTGTTATGATCCCATTAAATAAATGTATGTAAAATTACTCACTGAAGTCTTGTTTCGTCAGGGCACATGCTAGATATGGTTGTCTCAAAGTGTCTCAATTTCCTATTGAACTGTATACCGTCTTCACCAGGAGAAAACTGTTCCAGCTGTGAAGAGAATAATAATTTTGTTTTATTTTTCTTCCACGTCAATACCCAGATATGATATCCAGTCTTCTTCTAAGAAAAATGAGGATGTTTCTTATATTATCATTACAAAGTTGATAGGGCATAGTACGTAAGGATCAATGCAAGAAGTAGTTTGAGACTTTTTTATTGTGCAGTAGTTATCAAAGCCCATAGGTATCGGTGTGAATACCCTTCCGCCCACCTGGAGATAAGTGGTCAGTCTCAATTGTATTGTATGACTGTGGTTCCACCCTTTAAACCAAAATATATGACTGCCTTGTGACCGAAATAGGCAGTATCTAAATATCTACCCAAGTGGGTTTACATTATTATGCCATACCACCAGTTGTCGAGTTCTTATCTACTACTCAATGAATAAAGCTTCATTTCAAATGTTCTTAGTATCCTGATTATATCATAGAATTTAATTTTTTATTTTATTAGTACGAATTCAATTCAGTAGGTAGCTGACTGTGGTGTATTATATTAGTTCATTCAAAATTATGTATTTCCTGCGTTCAAGTTTTATTTTTCAAACTTTTATGAACCTTTAGGTGGACAGTGGCTTGGCTCTGCCCCTGACATTGCTGTCGTCCATGAGCGACGGTAACCACTCACCATTAGGTGGGCCGTATGCTCCTCTACCTACAGGGGCAATAAACAAATAACTGCCATTAATAACTTCAATGAATGTGACTGAAAAGAATTCTATGGGTCATATTTTAAAAACTAAATTCATTGCATTTTTAAATTGTTTGTAATTTTTTTTAGATTCTTCAAGCTTCTTCCTTTAAGCTTTTAATACCTACTATTGATGCATTACGTAGATTGCAAAAAATAATCTCTTACCAAAGTCAGCAACGGTGTGTACTGCTCGTCAATGTGCAGCAATTCACTGAGCACTGCATCATCTGTGTTTGTCTTGGTGTCCTGTTTCTCATCTTGTTCGGTCTCCCTCTTGTCCCGGCTCTGTGACTCCCTGCTCGCATCTGCGTCGAAATAGGAAACTGTCTTTTTTCATTATATTTACGAAGAATGAATTTTAGCAATGAAAATGAAATTACTGAAAACGTACATCATTCCTCGACCATTTTAACAGTACAATAGTGACTGACATCTATAGAGCGGAATAAAATTTACAGAGATGTACCATTTATTTTATACGTAGCTGACAAACAATGTTTTAAAATTTTAAAGTTTATTCATGAATATGATACCGAGGTGAGGTAGAGAAATGATATGTCAATGATTGTTATTGTAACGATCGTTACTTTGTATCCTGTAACAAAACATACTGGTTGAAAACAAAAGAAAACAGACATATTTAAAATTCAAATGATTAAATCAGAGCCATGAAATTATTTTACTGTTATTGGTTCTTGAAATACTTGCACATTTAAAATTAATCGATAATCTTGGACACAATAAATTACATTGAGATTAAATAGATACAGGTCAAGCTGATTAACAAGTGTTAAAGAGTGATTGCTAATCAATTTTTATTGCAACAATTTTTCAACACAGAAGTGAATATACTCTACCGGCTTGAATTTAGGATACTTAGGTTCAATAATTAGACATGTCAAACTTTTTTATAAGCACACAGAAATAAGTTCCACAGTATTTTTTGTTGGTCTATCTACCGTAATGACAACAATTCAATTCAAGAACTTGCCAAACACGTAACAATATTTGTTACCTTGTCATAAAGTGCCAGCATTGATTTCGATTTTTAAATGGCATAAATATTATACAACCCTGGCTTGAAATGCTCAGTAATAGCTGATTGACATTTAAAAAAAATGTTATCAATATTTTTAACAGTAAAATTAGCATATTTATAATTTTTGGACATAGCTAAAAATATAATTCTAAGAGTTTGACTCTCTTTCTCGCTTTTTTTAAAGCACCACTTCTCCGGTTTGCAGCTCTCTCAAGAACTTTTAAAGTAATTTTAATTGTGAACTATTATTGATACCAACTTCAGTCATTTTGTGAATGCTATCACTTTTGGCATTTTTTTAAATTTTTTTTATTGCCTTTGTAGGCAGACGAGCATACGGCCCACCTGATAGTGAGTGGTTACCGTCGCCCATGGACTTCAGCAATGCCAAGGGCAGAGCCAAGCCGCTGCCTACCGCTTAATACTCTCCACAAGCCTCGTTTGAAGAAGGACAAGGGCATGTAGTGGTTCAGGCTCTGTGTGCTTAGTGCGAGTAATTTAACGTTCTCGATAGCGTAAAAGTTAACTTAAATTTGTATGGAATGGGATCGTTTGCTGCTAGGGGCGCTGTTTCAACTGCATACAAAATTGGGCTAATTTTTACGCTATCGAAAACGTTAAAAAACTCGCACTAAGCACACTGTTCGAATTAGGAGCCCTTGACCGAACACACCTTATAAGTTCACAGAAAAAAAATGTACACTAACCAGTAGCTCTGGGACTAAGTTCCGAAAGTGTCCGGACTGCTTTTTCCTCCTCTCTGTCAGTATCACCGGGCCTCGGCTCACGGAGCTGATGCCGCCCAGTGTAGCCACGACCACGGCCCGTTGACATTATATACTGGAATCGTGAAAGTTGTATATAGTGGTAATTTCTATATATAAACTTCTTTATGACAGTTACTGCATCCTAACGGTGAATATGGAACTTTGATTTACACTTTGTACCTGTTTTTCTATCTTATATCACAGCACAACGCATTTTGTAATGAATCTATCAATGTGGTTTTTGTCTATTATCATAACAGTTGGAATTCGTTCCAATTTGAGTGTTCTATTCCATCCCATCCCAAGTGCAGTCGTGCACGGGGAGAGTGCAGAGCTAGGACTTCAATATCAAATGTACCGACAAAATGGTGTGATATGTTCGTTTGGCAACATTTGTCTTAACAACTGTTATAAAATCTTAGTGAGCTCACCACAGTCCCATTAGTTGTAGACGGTCTCACAGACACAAGTTCAAATGAAATAAAATGAACAAAGATATCTGAGTACCTGCTCAACAGCCATTTTTATAGCTACAACATTTCTAAATTTCCAGGCAACTTGTATATACTTTACTTTACTTTTGCTTTGCAATTATTAAATTTAGAGAAAACAGTAGCAATTTGTTATGTATAATCAAGTTAGTGTATATCTTCAATTGATGCTGTTATTTATGTATATGTACTGGTGATAGGACCTCTTGTGAGTCCGCACGGGTAGGTACCACCACCCTGCCTATTTCTGCCGTGAAGCAGTAATGCGTTTCAGTTTGAAGAGTGTGGCAGCCTTTGTAAGTTTATTGAGACCTTAGAACTTATATCTCAAGGCAGGCGGCGGCATTTACGTTGTAGACGTCTATGGGCTCCAGTAACCACTTAACACCAAGCGGGCTGTGAGCTTGTCCAACCACCTAAGCAATAAAAAATAATAATAATAAAAATGTTTGTTATTTCATGTTTTTTTTGTGTTCCATATTGCTGTTGTTTCATATGCATATTATTGAAACTTAAGATTGCTTACTTTATGCTGTGATTTGAGGTATAAATGCATGAATATGAATAAACTATTTATTCTATCTAATAAGCAAAATTATAATCTCCTATAGAAAAAAAACGAAAACAAGTTTATTTTCTCGAAACATGAGTCACATCGATCTGAGCTTAACAACTGCGATCGAAACAGTAACTATGAGCAGATCTCTCATATTAACATTAATCAATAAAACGAGTACATTTTTTTACTAAAAAACACACACCGCACAAAAACGAATACACAATACTACAACTACGTAAATAAATCTACATAATAATAATGTATGTGCAATGAAAATAATACTTGTGACGTAAAAATTTTTCAATGGAAGTTTACAGAAAAATAAATTTTTAAACGTATGCTCATTCGAAAGAGATCAATGAAAACGTTTAATTTATGGCCTAATCTTTTATTTATCTCGCTCTAGAATCGATTTTTAAGTATTTATAAGCTAGAAATGCAGGAATATACCTTTGTCTGCCGGTAAACGCATCAATGACGATGTTGCTTCGTACACTTTTTGAATAAAGAATGTAATCATTTATCTCCCAATGTAATGGGAATACATGATAATAAAAATACGGTTGTAGTTATTTTCACTTACCAAATATTTAAATGAAAATTTGATGGAAGTTATTTATTTGCTAAATTGTTTGAGCGCACAACGGTTGTCAACACGTTTCACTTCCATATTGGACTAGTGATTACGTACAAGTTTAGTATGAAGATCAATGCGTCAGAATAACGGTTTTGAAGATTGGGACCTATGTCGAAGATCAAAATCACTGAAATGCATTCGACTAACAAGCAGTTTTTGCTTTGGAGATTATAGTGTCGCAAAGCTCACTTTAACATTAAACATTTTTGTACTTAGTTTGTGTTAGAGTTTGTATATTAAATGTAATGGCAGGCAACACTTGACACTTGATTAGATTTCGAATATTGGAATTATTTTAAAAGTTTAAAAAACAGATCATTGTATTCTCGTAAGAAAATGTCAGTGCTTCTCATCTAGACACGGCAAGACAAACATGTAATAGTTTTATAAAAAATATAAAGATAATAATTGTATAATGGTGTAAAAGTGTTCAAGCTATCTGCAATATAATTATAATGAAGCAGTTGTGTTTTTAAATAGCCCCTCATCACCTACAGAACCCAATCCCTCAAATATAAACATCCAACAGTTTGTAATAATTTTAGTTTAAAAACATAAGTAAACATTTAAAAAAATGGTCGGAATGTTTTCTTTTTTTTCCATGCCTACGCTGATTGTTTAGACTCTAGAAAGACCATGTCAGCGTCACCGGGCTAGCAGGTTAGCTCACGGGGCTCAAACCTGACGATGTTGCACGATCCTTAGCAAGAGCCGTGCTTCGCAGAATTTACCACCGGATCAGAAACGCGACCCTCTGAGAAGATCTGGGGAGAAAATCAGTGGGCTGTGTCTGTGGGTTAATATACTCCCCGAACCCTTCATCGCAGCGATGAAGGGTTCGGGGAGAACGACGACCGGAATGTTTTCTAGTCCCGATTTTGCAATAAATAATCGAAATAAATCGACTCAAAGCCATGAAAGAATCGGTTCAGGAGCATCGATTTAGTACTGCCCGACACTAGTTCACACCGATCGAAAAAATTGACGTTTCAGAAAGGAAATGCCTTGGAGAGGGAATTGTAATTTCAGCGGATAATTGAAGTTTTTTTCCAAATCTGTTTAAAAAACATACACGCGTTTTTTTTTTCACGTTAAAATAGTAAAAACCAATTTTCATTTCAATGATTTCAATCCATGTGAAGTAATATGAACTATTTATTTGAATCACATAACAGGCGTCCTAACGCACTTGTGTTTTAATTAATTTAATTGTCATTTTAATTGTGTAAATAAAGTCCGATATTTTTATTTACATCTTAACGTTATTACGAATCGATTGGTACCTATAAATAGCTTTAAAATTGCCGTGTGACGTTGCAATTTTCGAGAAAATATGTCCGAAGGCCACGGCGAACCTAATCAGTGTCGGAAAGAGAGCGTGGCCGGGGCTGCGGTGCCTAGTGACAGTCCCGTGACGGATCCGGGACAGGTCCGGGCAGGGAATAGCGACAGTGGGGCTGCTAAGTTCGACGGCCCGCGCGGGAAAGCCGGTGCCTTAAAGAAGTCCGCCCGTTACAGAAGTAGATCACTCTCTGCGTCTTCAGCCGATTCATACAGCTCCACGTCTTATACCGGTAAGTGAATATGTAAGGAAAAATTAGATTTATTTGTTAAAGGTTTTAAACTGTACGCCACATTGTCATGGAATGCCCACTAACGAGATTCGCAGGCCAAGTGGAAAATCTCAAAAATGTAACAAAAGAAGCTATCGATTATTTCATAAGCTGTAAATTTAAATTATAACCACGCAGTGTAAACGAATGCCATACGATAAATAAATAATTATGAATGTCTCAAGGGAAAGTTGGAATATCGGTATAAAAGGATTCTTTTAATGTCCCTCTTGATGGTTGTAATTCAAGAAGACTTCTAATGTTGTAAATTAAAAAAAAATACTACCCCTGACATTATAATATATGCTGTGTTGCTGAAGTGCAAGACTAGTGCATTTATTTCCGAGTTAAATGAGAATAAATTCAAATTAATGTTAAAGGTCAGTATGTGCTGTATGATTATGAATGTTAAATAAAAAATTTCATCTCAAGCCCTGAGGTAGGTGACAATGTTAACCTTATATCTATGAGCTCCTGTAACCACGTCAAGCTAGGTTTTTTTTTATTGCTTAGATGGGTGGACGAGCTCACTGTCTACCTGGTGTTTTGTGGTTACTGGAGCCCATAGACATGTACAACGTAAATGCGCCACCCACCTTGAGATACAAGTTCTAAGGTCTCAGTATAGTTACAACGGCTACCCCACTCTTCGAACCGAAACGCATTACTGCTTCATGGCTGAAATAGGCTGGGTGGTGATACCTACCCCTGCATACTCACAAGATGTCCTACCAACAGTAAGAACCACCAGTAGGGGGACCGTGAAATTAATAAATAAGTTCCTTAAACATTAACATCTGCTGAATTTCAATGTCCCTAATGCTTCAGTCTATTGTTCTTGCTTCATCTTCCGTGTGGTAGAGACACTGCTGCTTTCTCTACATAGAGACTCGCAGTGTTGCTTGAATATGAAGGCCCAATACAGGTGTGTCTTTGTAGAGTTCATGGTTTAAACTTCAGAACAAGTGAGACTGTTCTGGAATTACATGAATGATGATGATTCATTTTTTATTATGGCTTTCATAGTCTGTTGAATGGGTACCGTTGTTAAGGGACGTCTGTGATGGCAGAGACAGAGTCAAGTCACCGCCTACTGTGTCAAGTCAATCAATATGTACTTGAGACAGGAATACTTTTTTTTTTATCCTACCTATGCTGATAGCCTTGAGAGGCTATTTCAGCTTCGCCCTAACATGTAGGTGAGCTCAAGAGGCTCAAACCGGAGTGTTACTAACACTGGCCCTAGCAAGAGCCGTGCTTCGCAGAATCTACCACCGGATCGGAAACGCGACCCACTGAGAAGATCCGGTGAGAAACTCAGTGGGCTGTGTCTATTGGTTAATTCGCTCGTCGAGCCTTTCGTCGCAAGCGACGGGTTCAACTAGGACGGTGATCGGTGCTTGTGGTACCTAAAAGCACCGTTAATGGATCGGGAGGATCCGAGATGACGTGTTTTGGGCGACGTCGACTATTTACCATTCGGTCTACAGGATCGGGTGTGTAATTCCCAGCGGCCACGACAAGAGGGTTCTCATGTCGTGCCGCCTTCTCAAAGTGGCGCAATGATGCCGACTGTAAATACATACTGACTGAGTCAAACTCCAGGTCATCATGGAGAGCCACATTCCTTAGGAACCATGGTGCTCCGACGGCTACCTGCAAAAACGGGATTGAATTACTTGTAGGGGTTTCAAGTTGGTGCGGGCCGCGTGAGCGAACACTACACTTGCATACGTCATGACGGGGCGCATGCAAGTTTTGTAGAGTGTCACCTTATTACGAAGGGACAATTTGCTTCGCTCCAGGAATACTAGCGAAGGGACAGTTATGTTTCATTCATTAATGAATTTTTTAATTTATCATTTAATTAACAAGTTTAAGCACACATTTTGAGTAACATATCGTCAGTACAGCGTGGCACAGCGAAGTGTCGTGTCCAGATGCTCGGACACTTGGTCACTCCTTTTTTAGCTCCAACCCCTGGATCGTCTTCCATCCACTTTACCCATCACCATGAGTCTTTTTAAGTTGTCAGAAAAAAAAACATAGTGGCATCTCAATTAAATAAATAAATATTTACTAACAATCACGCCACGTTAACCTGTCCCGTGCTAAGTTCGTAAAGAACTTGAGTTACAGGTAGGTACCAACCAGATAACGGAAATAAATATAAGATTTTTATTATACACATACATATATTTAATATATATCCATAACCCTAGAAAAGACATTTATATTTATCATACAAATATCTTCTCTTGGCGAGATTCGAACCCGCGACCCCCTTGTGTAGTGACCATGTCACTTACCACTACACCAGACGGCCGTTGAAATTAGATGTTGCGTTCAAAAAATCTCATATAACGCGGTTTCGTCGAACACGGGTCTTTTTAGAAACGTATCTACCGTGTTATAGGGGGGCTATCTATATACAAGAACTGTTGGTAGGTTAAGTTTTAAGCAGTTTTTTTTTTTTATTGCTTAGATGGGTGGACGAGCTCACAGCCCACCTGGTGTTAAGTGGTTACTGGAGCCCATAGACATCTACAACGTAAATGCGCCATCCACCTTGAGAGATATAAGTTGTAAGGTCTCAGTATAGTTACAACGGCTACCCCACCCTTCAAACCGAAACGCATTACTGCTTCACGGCAGAAATAGGCAGAGCGGTGGTATCTACCCGCGCGGACTCACAATAGGTCCTACCACCAGTAAAATATATAGAAATAGTAGATACGAGTTATTGATTAATTTTAAAATGGTAAATAAGCGAACCACCGTGACACGAATACGGCTGCATAATTAATTGTCCGTTCGATCACGTGATGATTGCGTATGGTAGCTTTTTTTTATATTTTTTTGTTGCTAAGATGTGTGGACGACCTCACAGCCCACCTGGTGTTAAGTGGTTACTGGAGCCTATAGACATCTACAACGTAAATGCGTTACCCACCTTGAGAAATAAGTTCCAACTTCTCAAGTATGGTTACAACGGCTGTGGTAAATCTGTGGTACGGTACCTTACTAACCACCTAACGCTAGATTTATATATTTATATAGATATTTAAGAAGTTGTCGTGGCCTAAAGGATAAGACGTCCGGTGCATTCGTATATAGCGATGCACCGGTGTTCGAATCCCGCAGGCGGGTACCAATTTTTCAATGAAATACGTACTTAACAAATGTTTACGATTTACTCTCACGGTGAAGGAATAACATCGTGTAATAAAAATCAAACCCGCAATATTATAATATGCGTAATTACTGGTGGCCCGGAGGCCTTTCCAGCTTCACCAGGACAGGTGGGCGAGCAAAGGCTCAGCCAGGAGGGATGGGATTTGCTAACAGCTACCCGAGCGCCTCCGAAGGAGACCTAACAACTCAAGATCAATTGCTTCGCGAATTAATCTACTACCGGATCGGAATCGCGAC